TGTACCAACCCTGTCATGTGTGGGTGGTTTCACTGTACCAACCCTGTCATGTGTGGGTGGTTTCACTGTACCAACCCTGTCATGGTGGGTGGTTTCTCCACTGAAAAGTTGCCATTTACCCCTGTGAAGCTACTGAGTACCTTGAGGGAGATGCGTAGACAGTATGGAAATCCTGAAGGAAATTTCTTTCAGTAGCAGGAAGGAAGTAGAAACTGACAGAGCTGCAGGGAGAAGCAGACAGACCTACAGTCACACTCAGGGCTTTCAACACTCCCTCTCCATGATTAACAGAGCAAGGAGACAGAAGGTGGACAACAACACGGGCTACTCCATCACAACCTTGACCTCATGGCCAGTTACAGCATCCCCTGATCAGCAGCACATACGTTTGGGGCACATGCCACAGCCATCAGCTGTGTCCCAGGCCACAAAATGAGTATTTTTTTTGAGAGAGCGTCTCACTATGTCACCTTGGTAGAGTGCTGTGCTGTCACAGCTCACAGCAACCTTCAACTCTTGGGCTTAAGCAATTCTCTTGCTTTAGACTCCCAAGTAGCTGGGACTACAGGTGCTTGACACAGCTTGGGGCTATTTTATGTTGTAGTTGTCATTGTTGTGTTAACTGACCCAGGCTGGTTTGAAACCACCAGCCTGGGTGTATGTGGTTGGCACCATAATCATTGTGCTACAGGCGCTGAGCCATAAAATGAGTATTGATAAAGTTAAAAGGATCCAGAACATACAGAGTGTGTCGGCTGACAACAATGTACTTAAATTAATAATATCAGGAAGACCTCCAGAAAAATCTCCATATAACATCAAATGAAATAACATACTTCTAAATTCATGGGCCAAAAAGGAAATCAAAAGGGAATTTATGAATTATTTTAAACTTAGTGAAAACAAAATTATAACATATCAAAATTTCTGGGATGCAGTTAAAGCTGGACTGAGTAGGAAATTTAAAGCATCAAAATAGAATACCAGAAAAAAAAAGTTTACAAATTGGTGAGCCCAGCTTCCACTTTAAGAAATCAAAAAAGAGAATTTTAAACACAATGTAAGCAAAAGAGACAATGAAGAGCAGTGATACCAGACTTTTGATATTGGATTTCCAGGCTCTTGGTCTCAATGACTCGATGAATGAATTGATGGACCACAGGATGGAAGTTAAGTTTTATTTAACAGGTATTACAGCTCTTACAAAGAGCCAAACCTCGCAGAGCAGGATAAGATAGGTTTTACACAAGTGTCACAGCTCTTACAAAGAGCCAAACCTCTTTGCAGGGCAGGATACAAGTGTTACAGCTCTTCCTCTTCTGTTCTCTCTCTCTCCCTCCAAGGTCTGCAGCAATCTGCTGAGGTCTTTGCTCTCCTGCTCTCTTTCCCTCAAAATTCTGTGATGATCTGCTCCTTACCGGCTCTACTCAGGGGTTTATATAGGGTCCAATGAGCTGAAAGCTGAGCTCAAGAGAAAATGGATCAATCAGGAGCAGAATTGAAAATGGACGAATTATGGATGCACTGGAGGACTCCTCAGTGTTTTTCCCCTGCTCCCATTAGGACTTTTTTGCTACTGGAGCCTCTGGTGGGAGAGGAAAGCTCTCTCCGCTTGCTCCAGCCTGTGGGTTCCTCTGCTGGCTGCCGCAGCCAAGACAGAGGAAGCAGGCCCCCCAGCCCGGCTCAGCTGAGCTGGCTGAAGCGCCACTTTGTCCGGTATCTGCAGCATGGAAGTCAATTTTAAAAAGTGGAACAATGAACCCCCAAGCTGGGTCCTTCAGAAGATCAAGCTTAATAACCTTCTAATCTAGTGATCAGTAAAAATAAAGAGCAAGCCACAAATAACTCACATCAGAATGAGAGAAGTGATACCATTTCATGCTGTCTACATATTAAAAGAATGACAAGGGAATATTACAAACAACGTTATGCTGATAAAATTCAACCACTTAGATGAAATAGACATTTCCTTAAAGGATACAAACTATCAACATTCAGAAAAGACAAGCTCAGCAGTTGAATATTCCTTAAATAATTCAACCATATACAAAAATGATAAGGCAGGGTGTGGTGGCTCACGCCTGTAATCCTAGCACTCTGGGAGGCCGTGGGGGGGGTGGATTTGCCTGGGTGCATGAGTTTGAGACCAGTCTGAGCGGCAAGGAGACCCTGTCTCTAAAAATAGCCAGGTGTTATGTTGGGCATCTGTAGTGCCAGCTACTCTGGAGGCTGAGACAAGAGAATAGCTTGAGCCCAAGAGTTTGAGGTTGCCGTGAGCTGTGATGCCACAACAATGGCAACAATCCCCTCTACTGAGGGCAACAAAGTGAAACTTTATCTCAAAAAAAAAAAAAAAAAAGATAATATATCACGAGCCAGTTGGATTTATCCCAAGAACACAAGGTTGATTTTACACTTGAAATCAATCAATATACAGCAGAACCTCTGTACTGACCACCTCCCCACATTGACCAACTTCTTCTTCTGTTGACCTAATTTTCATAGACTGGACATGCACTAGGCCTAGATCTTTATGTCGACCCCCTCCATAAGTTGACCAGTTTGTTATGGTCCCTTGAGTGGCCAACTTACAGAAATTCTGCTATAATTGAGAACTCTCAAAACTCAACAATAACAACCCAATTAAAAGTGAGTAAAATATTTTAACAGAACACTGCCCTACAGAAGGTGGCAAATTAACAGGTGAAAAGCTGCTCAACAGAATTAGCCACTAGGGAAATGCAAATCAAAACCACAATTCCATCTGTCACTACACACTTACTAGAATGTCTAAAATTAAAAAGATGAACCATACCAAGTGTTGGCGAGGCTATGGAGCGCTCGCTCACCGTAGGTGGGGACGGAAAGGTACGTTCCCTTTGTCAGTTTCTGAGAGGCTTGACTACAGCTACCCTGAGATCCAGCCACTCCACTCCTAGGTGTTTACCCCAGGGAGATAAAAACTTGGCCACAGTGTTTCTATCAGCTTCGTTTCTAAGAGCCCCAAACTGGAGACAACCCACACAGAGATGAACGGGTGAATGGATGTACTAACTGGTCTATTCTCGCAGTGGGGCACTAGTCAGCACTAAACCCACCAACACAGTGAACCCAGTATAATTATTCCGCGTGAAGGAAGTAGACGAGAAAGTACACACTGTATGATTCCATTTATGAAATTACAGGAAAAGCAAACCAGCCGTTAATGACAGCGAGCAGGTCAGCAGCTTGCCCGGTGATGGGGAGGAGAGGGAGCAAGGACAAAGGGGACGCTTCTTCCCGGCATTCGCTATGCTGATTGAGGCCGTGGTTTCACAGGTGCACGAAAATGTGCAAACGTATCAAATTTACATACCTAGTTTTATTGTATATCAACTAATCCACAGTAAGGCTACTTGAAAAGACCTCAAGGAGGCTCAGGTCCATCCCCAATGCCCCCACCCGCCATTCCCCGCCCCCTTCGGGTACCAACACGCACCAGACTTCAGACTGGGGTGGTGGAGCGGGGGTCCTAGGCAAGGGGAACTCAGATGCCGCAGGGCTGACCCACTCATCTGCGACGGCCGGCGAGGGGCGCCCAGAGGGGGCTTCGCGCTGATCCAGGGTCTTCAGGCTGGCGGACGCCGGGGGAAGGGCCCTGGACACGAAGCTCGGCGGGTGGACCGGCTTAGGGGCAGCCCCTGCCGCCTCGTAGCCCCGCCTCCATCCCCGCCCACAGCGCCGGAGCCCGCCCCTGCCACGCTTTGCCCCGCCCCTTTCCCTCAGGCCCTGCCCTCCCCAGGCCCGCCCCCCTCTCCCCTCCCGCCCCGTCCAGCCCCGTGCCCCGCCCGCGGGCCGCGCAGGCTAGAGCTCGTCCTCCCCAGCAGGCTGCCGCGGTGTGGGTGCGGGGGCACGGGTGGCCACCTAGCAGGGTGTGTCGCCGGGTCGGGCGGGCTCCGACAGGCCCGAGAGCGGAGAGCAGCCTCCGGCCGCGCAGGTAAAGCCCCTCCCCGTCCCGGGAGCGTGGACCCTGCCTTACCCCGTTCATCCTCCCCGCGAGTGCCAGGTCCGGGGGTCCCGGGAGTCCTGGGCGTCCCGAGGTCCCGGGAGTCCGAGCCCCGCCTGGCTTAGCGCGCGGCCCGCTACTCCACGCCCAGCGCGGGCCGCGCGCACAGGGCTTGGCTTTTCTCGGTTCTCTGTTTCTTCTCAGACAATTGAAATAAAAGGCGAGGTCCTGGTGCCATGCGGAGGGCAGCGAAGAGCTTGATCTATTGTTCCAGTTTTCAAGGGTTGTCAATAGTGGCGGAGCGCTGGGAGGGCAGGCAGAGTAGCCCCTGGCACCGAGCGCCCTCGAGACCTGGCCCTCCACCCTGAAGAAACCCTGTGGGGCCCTCCGGGGTCCAGCCCTGAAGAACTGGGCCAATCTAGGCCCGCCCAGCCTCTGGTGCTGGCCAGGAGTCCCCTGACCACTGAGCCAACCTGTCCTCAGCAAGCGGTCAGCGGCAGCTGACCCCATTCCTGAGGTGCCTCCTGGGTTGCATGGGCGTCTCCAGATGTAAGGTACAGGGCAGGTGTGTTGGAGGAGGCCTGATCCCCCACCTGGATCCTTCAGTGTGCCCGGGACTGTTGGGCAATGCTGCCCTCCCGCCCCCTTTCCCTACTCTGTCCTGTTCTCTTGTAGAACTGCACGTGGAGAGCACCACCCTGGACGTAAGGCACGGCCAGGAAGAGTCAGGATGGGCACCGCAGGCCCCTCGCCCCTGCTGGTTTCCACAAGAAGGTCCTGCCTCTTCCTCCTCTTCTGCCTGCGTGTAGGTGCCTCCTGCCCTCACCCCTGCCGGTGTCCTGAGCATGCTGGGGCTGTGGCTGTCCACTGCAGCGCAAGGGGCCTCCAGGAGATCCCCAGGGACGTCCCTGCAGAGGCCGTGCTCCTGAAGCTGGATGCCAACAAAATCTCCCACATCCCCAACGGAGCCTTCCAGCACCTGACCCAACTGAGAGAACTGGACTTGTCTCAAAACTTCATCGAGACCATCAGCCCTGCTGCCTTCTCTGGCCTGGCTGGGGGCCTGCGGCTGCTGGATCTGTCACACAACCGCATCCGGAGGGTCCCCAAGGATGCCCTGGGCAAGCTCAGTGCCAAGATACGCCTGTCCCACAACCCCCTGCACTGTGAGTGTGCCCTGCAGGAGGCCTTGTGGGAGCTGAAGCTGGACCCCGACTCAGTGGATGAGATTGCCTGCCACACCTCCGTGCAGGACGAGTTCGTGGGGAAGCCCCTGATCCAGGCCCTGGACTCTGGCGTCAGCTTCTGCAGCATCCACCACAAGACCACCGATGTGGCCATGCTGGTCACCATGTTCGGCTGGTTTGCCATGGTGATCGCCTACGTGGTGTACTACGTGCGCCACAACCAAGAGGACGCCCGGCGGCACCTGGAGTACCTCAAGTCCCTGCCTAGTGCCCCTGTGTCCAAGGACCTCGTTGGCGCTGTGCCCTAGCGCCTGCTCCCGGCAGACCTCGGCCCACTGGCTGCCACAGCTTTTGGAGCAGGTGGAGTCTGGTGCCTTCGCGTTCCCCCTCGAGGTAGATGATCACAGCCACTGTAGCGTGTCTACACTGCCGCATCTCCAGGTCGGGTGGTTTCATTGTTCAACCCACTTGACAGATAAGGAAACTGGAACTTAGAGGAACAGGTTGGCTTGCCCACGACAACACAGTCAGGAAACCATCCCGTTGGGACTTCTGCCCCACCAGTCTTGATGTCCATGCCCCTTCCACTGTGCAGGCCTCTCCCTCAAAGACCTGTGGGAGGTGAATGCTTTATAAGTGTGAAGTCTCCAGAGAGGTCTAATGCAGATCCACCTGCTGCAGGTGCTAGGTCCTCCGCTGGGGAGCTGGCTGGGCTTTGTTTACCTTGTACATCCTGGGAGCATCTGAACACAAGCCCTTCTCCCACAGCAAAGTTGCAGAGAGCAGGTTTTTCTAGAGAACTAAGTGGAATGTATAGCTCAAACTAAATGTTCAACATCTTGTTTATTCTCAGAATATCTGTGTCAAAATTTTAGTCTAGTGAGAGGGGAAAACCATGAGAGAAACCTGGGAAAGGTCCAGTGCAGGCCCCCAAGGGGCAGTGCCAGCAGCAGACAGACATGGCCCACCACCTCCTGCCTCTCCTGCTGAACCTGTCCGGGAAGGTGCGTCCCTGGGTTACCTCTGTGCCTTGCTTCTCTACTCTCTGATATCTAAAGCAGCTCCTTTTCTAAGGATGGGAGGACATATGCTCCATGTTTCAAGGCCAACCAACGGGATGCTTCCTTTTCTCCAGCAACAAAAACTCTGTCTTTTCACCTTTGCTGCCAGGAATCTCAGAGATAATTTAGTGCTTGATTTTCTTACCTATATCACTTCACATTCTTGGTGGACATTACCTCCACCTATATGATTCTGATTTATAATTTCATTTCTTATTGCCTTTTATATGTTTATTTTAAAATTACTTTGAATATATTTTGGGGGGAGCAAATAAGTAAATGTAAATTGTATATGGACTTAATAAAATATAAGGTATGTATAGATGCTTCATTGAACAGATGCTTAAAAATGATGAGAAATCAAGGGTGATTTGTGTTTAGAATGTTTCAGGTGTCTTGAAGTGCCCCATCCCGGTGGCTTGCTGGGTTCTGATGGTCTCAGCCACACAGTGCGTCAGCGTTGTAGCACACAGGGTCTGACCTGTCTACTGTGCTGCCGCAGAAACTGGAAAAGCTCATCGGAACAAAGTCCTGATTTTTCTGTCATTGTGCACTGAAAAGAAACAACCAACAAATCCCAAATGCTCCTCCCACCCTGTCCCGTGCTGGTGTCCACGGGGAGGGGTACATGGGATAACCATCCAGGGCCAGTTCCAAATGCTCTTTCCACACTGTCCTGTACTGGTGTCCACGGGGAGGGGGATGTGCAGTAACTGTCCAGGGCCAGATGTGACCAGTATGAGCCATGTATATCATGGGGGCCTCCATGTTATAGAGTGTTTGGTGGCCACTGCTCTGCCCACCAGCCAGACCAGAGCCGGGCAGGAAGACGCACCCAGTGCAAGTGGAGGCCAGGTCCACACCCGGCTCACCTTTCTTCCCACCATGCTGCCCAGGTGACACGGTGCTTGGTGGACACCAACCCACACAGAAACTGGTGGTGACACTCAAACTTCCAGTGAGAACTAGAACCAAGTGGCCAGACGCCCTAGGGTGCACAGAGTGCTGGCGTGGCACTGGTGTGACCCACGTGGCACAGATGGCATCAGCTCATGGCAGGGTGTCCAGGTCCAATGTCTGGAGGAAATAGGTGCTAACAGTGCCCTGGGCCAGAGGCTTTTGCCCAGAGGAAAGCACCTAGTAAGCTCACGCTAAGGATGTGGGGTTTAGGAACCTAGCACCGTTACAGGCTCTTGGAGGAGTGCAAAAGGACTCAGACCCCTTGGACAGATGAAGGAGGTCACTGCCCAGTGGGTTTGCCTGAGAGACATGACCCTAGGTCTCTGGGAGCCTGGGGACCAAGGGCCAGGTGTGAAGGGCAGGGTGCCGTCTCTGCCTCTACGTCCTGTGGGTGCCGGCCAGGCTCGTCTGGCATTCAGGGGGGCCTTCCCTGCTGCCAAGGACTCTTCACTTGCTCCTTCCCCACAGTCGGCCCAGATCTTGGATCCCATAACATGGCTCTTCAGGGGGCACCCAGAGAGCGTGTGGGGCTCCTTCCCTCCCTGTGCCAGTCAGCAGGAGGTGGCAGAGGACCCAGAGGCCACCAGAAGGCCCCTTTCCCTTTCCTGAACCCAGAGTCAGGTCCCTAAACTACCCACCATCCTGGCCTTTTGGAGTTCCCACCCAGAAGAAAGTGCCTCCTCTCTGAGGAGGCCCACACTGAAGCCCCTCCTGCTCACTGAGCTCTTTCTCTGGCTGTTGGGAAGTCCTGGGGTGCCCTCCTGTGGCACACCCCTCCCCTCCATTCCCTCCTGTGACCCCACCTGTCTAAGAGGCATGATGCACACTTGTTGCAGGGGGCAGTGGAGGCCCCTTGAGAGGACGTTCCTGCCTGGGCCCACCGTGGCTGTACCCACACCCTGTTCTTGTGGCCCACATGTAAGCATGAGTGCCCTGGACATGCTGCCCCCCATGAACCCTGACTCAGCCCCTGTACCGACTGATGGGGTCATCAAGATCATCAGTGGCCAAGGGGGATAAGCCCTGCCACGGCAGCAGGCATGGGACAAGGGGGCTGCCTCAGTGGATGTCCCAGCCTCATGGGATGTGAGTGACCTGGGCTTGTTGCCATTCAGGGAAGGGGCTCCCGTGGGAGTTTCAGGAGGATCTGCACAGGGCCATGGCCAGACCCCATCTACAAAGACCGTTTCTGTGGGGAAAGCTGCGAGTCACAGTCTGGGGATCTGGGTGATGCCCCGGGTCTTCACAAGAGCAGGGGAGCCTCTCCACTGGATCTGTGGCTGGGCGTCCGTCCATTCCCAGGAGAGTGGAAAGGAGGAGGGGTCTTGTTTCTAGGGAGGGTTCAGGCAATTTCAAGGCCAGAGGGGAGGAGAAGGGCACTAGGGGCTCATGGTACCCTCTGGGCCACCAGGCAGACAGATATCTCAGCACCGGTGGCTGGGCCCCGGCTCAGCACCCTACTGCACAAGGCCCCAGCCTCAAGCTCACCCCTAACCCCACTTGACCCCAGCTCTAAGCCCAACCCAAACCCCTCCTCAACCCTAAGCCCAACACAAACCCCAAACTCAACCCTGACCCTAGGAGGGAAGCCAGCACCCATACCCTTCCCCACACTCATGTTTTTTTGGCTGGGTTTGCGGCCCCCAGAGCCTGCACAGTGGCAATCCTGAGTGGTCCAACAGTGGGAGATGGGCCAGAGTCTGGCTTGGCCACTTACAGGACCATCCCAATGTCCAGGGGTTGTCCCTGGGGTGGAAGGCCACTGAGGGGAGAGAGGGCAAGGACGCACTCCCCCCTTAGAGCCTGGAGCATGCCTGACCTGCAGTGGGGGCAGACACAGTTCTAAACTGGACGTGGACCTGGGTGTGTTTTTCTTTACTGAAAGCAGCCAGGAAGCTTGGCTCTGCCTAGGTGGTCATTCAGGCAGGTGACGGGACAGGTCTGGGGTTGAAGGCCAGCGCAGGGCCCTCTCAGCTCTAGCTGGATGTTTGCCTTCATGCCAAGGGCTGAGAAACCTGTGGATGTGAGTGGGGCCGGCCACCCTGGACAGCTCTTCCTGGCGGTCAGCAAAATGATGGGATCCCCAAAGCCAGGGCAGGAAGCACGAGTGGGCCCAGGGCCTGGGCATTCCTGACATGTCCCTAAGGTGTATGCAGACACCTGGCTCTGGCCCCATCTGCCTCACCTTCCTATGTGCAGGGGCTGGTGGCTCAGCACTGTGCCCGGCCCCTGAAGCTGGTTCTCTGTATGGGGACCCTGTTGATGGGATTAAGTTAGGGATACCGAACTGGGAGATTGTCTTGGGTTATGTGAGTTAACCCTAGTCATCACAGTGCTCATGAGGACAGAGGGCTGGGACATGCCTTCCACTTCCTCTGGAGGTGGAGGGGTGGCCCAGGATAGTGGCACCTCTGGGAGTTAGAAAAGGTAGGGCCTAGTCTGCCCCGGGCCCCAGAGGACACAGCCCTGCCAGCACCTAGATTTTAGCTCTGAGAGACCAACCACCAGAATTCTAAACTAATAAATTTGCATTATTTAGACTACCAAGTTTAGGGCATTTTGCTATAGGACACTGGCATGTCCCCTCTGCAAAAACTGCCATGGTGGTCAGAGCAGATGGCCCTCGTGTTCTGGGACACCCCCAATACTGTCCCTGAGTCTTGGTTCTTGGGGACAAGGTGGAGGCCATGCCACCGCTGAGCAATCCGCGAGCTTATTAGCTTGAATCAGCCTGAGTCCCTGCCTTCCAGGACCATTGGAAGGGCTGCCTGGGCTGGCAGTGACTGAGGGGCAGGGCAGCGTGGTGCCACAGCTCCTGGGACTCAGCAGCACTCAGGCACGGGCCATGTGCACACACATGTGTGTACTCCCACTGTGCACAGACACAAGTCGTCCCACATGTCATGCTGAGGAGGTTCAGAGTGGGGCCCAGGCTCAGCAACAGCACAACCCACAGCTCGTCAGCCCTAGGTGATGCAGCATTTCTAAGGCCTCTGGGGCCCAGGCCAGCCCACTGAGGGTCAGCAGCCTTGATGGCACATGCCCAGGCCTTGGTGTGGTGGTGACAGCCTGGCACGGTCACTCTGTTTCTGAGAACCAGAGATCCTGAGGTCCAGAGTGAACAAGCTCAGGAGGTGGCTTATTTGGGGCAGAGCTGGATGGGAACCCATGTTCCTAACACCAGGTCTGGAAACCCTCACTTGCCAGCCAGGGTTAATCACTGGTGAGCACCAGACGAGGACTGGCCAGTGTGTAGGGGCCATAGTCTGTCCTGAAGTCCCCATGGT